TACCGCGCCAGCGCCGCGCCGCACACCAACACCACCTGCGTCACCACTATAAAGGGGTAAATGCTATAGTGCAACCTGTTAATGTACCGACCACACAATACATTCAACTAATAAAGTGTTATAATTATACATGTTAAAAGAGCGTCAAACTAACTTTCTATTTGTCGCTATCGCAACAGCATTCGGTCCAAATTTAAATAAAGCAAGTAAAAGTTTGTACAAAACAGTGGAAAGTAAGAAAGCACTAGTTACCTTCATCTGGGGCGGCGGCGAGCACGCGGTCCTGCAGCAGCACGTGTTTGTCGGGGTGGACCAGCAAGGACCACACGGCGGTCTTCGAAGGCAGCTGCCGCTCCTCGTCCATGAGTATGAGGCCCAGCATGGCCGAGATCGCCTCGTTCACAATCGGCTGCTACAAAAATAAACATTATGATAAAGGCTGATTATTGGTAGGGTATAAAAATACTTAATTTATTTCTAGATGTGTATGTTTGTTTCACCTGTAGCGGTTGCGCGGCGGCGCGCTCCAACGCGCCGAGCAGCGTGGGGCGGAGCGCCTGCGCGTGCGCCGCGGCCACGCCCCCGCGCACCGCGCGCGACACCAGCGCCACGTACGCGCAGCGCACCGCCGGCGTGCTGTTCTTTGCGGACAAGTTCTTCTGCGAATCAAACATAGTAATAAAGTAAGCTGGCTTAAACCATAGTCGACTTCGGCACGATGTCTGCCACTCACCTTGAATATCTCGTAGACTTTGGGGTGCAGCGGCGCCCGCAGCCGCTGCGTCCACAGGCTGAGCACGTCGAGCGCGACGCACAGGGTGCGCTCGTGGGACTCGCTGTCCAACACGCGCGCCACCTGGTTTGTAACTTCCTCGTACAGCACTTTGAAGTCTTCCTCGTTCACTGCCAGCTCGCTTAGTGTACCCGCACCCTAATAATCACAAATCAAACAAAACATATTTAAACCTGAACTTTTCCTTTTGCGAGCTACATTTACTGTAAATTAGAAAATTAGTGAAAGCACGAAAGCGTGAAAAGTGAATAGGAATGTACACTTTGTGAAGTATGGGCCATGTACTGTATTGTACCTGTAGCACCGCAATCTTGTCCTCGCTGGAGGTGAGCTTCCCGCTGGCGCCGTGGTACTCCGCGAAGGCGGCGGCCAGCAGCGGGCGCGCGGCCGCCAGCGCGCAGCAGCGTTGCGCCAGGTGTCCCAGCGCCGTGCTGGCCTCCGCTCGCGCCCACAAGTCTTTGGAATGCAGATTGCCTGAGGAAGGAAATTGTGTTCATTTAAACAAAAATTTCATACTATGTAAAGCATATTTGATATTTATATCTCTTACGGCCGAATACTGAACACATTGTTTCGGAACCACTGCTTACAATTGGTCCGATGTCAAAATTTTAATGTATTTGGATTTTAAATGTGTTCTTAAGATGCTGTTATATTTAAAATATCTTTTCAATAGTCTGCCATTACTGTTTTTGGAAATTCGCCAAATCAATACTGGAATTTTAAATATTAATTAAATAATTTTTACATACCTATTAAACTTTTGCCAATATCAACAGCAGTACCATCAACAAATAGTTGCAAATTGGCAAACACTTCACCAACAGCTTGTATAATAGTCTCAGGGCTGCGCAACATGGCCTTCTGCAGTGCCGGCAACAACGACTCCCTGACATCATCCAATGTTAACATGTGCAGCAGGTCGGCACAGGCAGTGATGTAGTTTGCATTTGGGCGATTTTTGACACTGATCAAACTTTTTATGAAGCTATCCAGCATTTTTGCCTGTTGAGATATTTATCTGTGGGTTAGTTACACGCAACGGGCTGTCAGCGCCCTCCGCGTCCAATATAATAATAGCCTTAGGATGCTGCTGGGACTCCCCCGACACTGCAGTGCGTCAGAGATGTTTGCGCAAACGCGGATTGACGGCTTTAACGCCATACTGCGCAAACGTACGGCCTCTCTTTTACGCAGAGTTCGGGAGAGTACCAACAGCATCCTAAGAGGGCTTAGTGAGAAGCCCGACTGCCCGATCATGGGGCACTGGCGGCGCGTACATATGCGCGTAGCCGGCATCGGGTCCCCTAGATCGTTTTAATTATAGTTTCTCCTTTTTCTTTATGTGTGTGTGTGTAATGTAATATAATATGTAGTGTTCCTGTAAATATCATATGTGTAATATTCTGTTACATGAATTAAATAAATTATTATTATTATTATTATATGACTCTACAGTATTTAAAAACAGTGTGACCTTAAAAAATCCAACTAAACATAAATAATTATTTACCTTATGACTGATAACAGTCTCTTCATCTCCAGTTTGCTTAAAATGTCTGCAGAGGGCGGAGAAAATGATAGGTATTTGGGGACCAGTGTCAGCCGGCAATTTGGTGAGCACATCAAACCACTTGATGGTTTTTGTTTTGCCAACAGCTTTCCATGAGACATGTAACTAGAAAAAATTGTAATTTATACACTTAATCATTAATTACAACATAATAATGGTTGAATTTGGTTACAGTTTATTTTGTTTACATACAGCAGTAAATGCTTTGTTATTCTTCTTCTTATTTCCATATGCGGTGACCACAGACAAAAAATTAGCTTGTGATAACACCAAAGAGTTGTAGTCAACACCATCTTCTTTGCTTTTCAGGGATGCTTCTGTTATTACTGCTGACCAGTGTAGTGCAAATAGTCCACTTTGGCATGTACTTTTGCTGAAAAAAATTAAATTGCACTATAAGATATGGTGTAATTTGTGATTTAGTTATATTATATGGTAAATTCACTTACGATGTAACTGTATTTCGTAAAGTTTCTGATATATCCAGTAACAAAGGTAGGAAACTGCGTAATGTCCATTCACAATGGTTGGCACTAAGATATGCCAGCAAGGTTTTCACATAAAATTGTGATGTTGTATCCCTGTAGCGATGCAATGTGGATGTCACAACGCGGCAGATAAACCTAACTACTGGTTCCGTTATACCTGAAGAAAATGTTTACATTAGATACTTAAAAGAAAAGTGTTACTTTTTTTTTGCTTATTATTGTAATTACAACACATTTTATATATTTACATAAAATAATGTGTGTACTGTTAAATACTAGTAGAATAAACTGTTGAATATAAAATGTATGTTTGAATGACTGGGTTCTTATGTAGTACCTTTAATCTGAAGTATCTTTTTTTACTAGCCATAATCTTAGAAGGTATTATTTAAAAAATAGTACAAAACTATTTTCTACTATTTTTTAAATAATTTTAGCAATCTGGTAGCTTTACTTTATCAATTAGACTAAAAGTCTACAAGATATATTTCCTAACACAAAGAAACAGTAATGTAGTTTAAGTGTAAAAGTTAATTTAAACAAACAATGTAACAGGTGTATTCTTAAAATTTATAGTAATGAACATATCATTGATGTATGAGGTGAGGTACAAGCATATAGTAAAGGTAAGCTAAGTTCACTCCATTGAATGCAGTTACCTGAAAGTACCTGGGAATTGGATCAATAAATCCAGGGACCGATACCGACCTTTAATAACTTCACTGCATAGATATGTACTATCTTTATACGTATATCTGTAACGATAATTAAATGAATAACTAATTACCTGGCGTTGCTAATACATCCTGAATTTCTTTTATGACTTCACGTCTTTCTTTCAAGCTTGCGGTCTGGATTTTAAATGGGACGTCTTTCAATTTCTTCAACACCTGAAAATGAAACTTACGTTACCGGAATACTAGTTGATTTATTGTATGTTTCAATGAAGGGTTAGTAAATAATCACCTCTGAATCTGCCATTTTTAGCAAACATTCAGATAGTTTTGTATATTTATTACAAAGTGTGCTGTAAAGGAAACAGAGCAAAATTTGTCCACCTAACCCTAACCAAAACACTTGCGCTCGGATGTTGGACGTAAAAGAGACAAATGAGGGAGGTGAGGGAAGGGGATCAGAAGGAATGAACTGTCATAAGTTAAACGCATAATTGCCAGTAGTAATAAGATTCGAAAAACATTTCTTGTTAGAATCTTTATTAAAAAGCTGAATCGAAGGGTAGCTTTAATATTTTCCGTTTATGTTTGTACACTTAACTATACAAAAATTATAAAATCTTAGACATTAAGATACACTGTGTTAAAAATGTATGAAAACCATTTTATATACTCTTTGGCTGTTGTTACTGATTGACATGTGTCATTGACAATTTTTGCCAGGCTTGATTAAAGGAATATCATTCATTTGTTTCAAATAAATATTATTTACAATAAAAGCATATGTTAAATTTTTAACATGGAAACAAGATTAAAACAATTAGATCAACTACATAGTTTTGTCGAAGAAGTGGACAAAGACGTGACACTTATATTACAGAATTTGCAATGGGATCGAAAACATCTTTTGTCGGTAAGAATAATAAACTATATAAGTTTATTGTTATTAAGAAGAGAAGATGGCACGTTGAAAAGAAAATATATAAATTAAACGAGTTCCTGATATGGATATAATTAGACCTTAAAGTGTAAATGTAATTTATTTCCTTCTAGAACTTACCGATGGTAACATGCCGCTATGATAATAACCACCAATTGCCCCAGGAGAAAAGGGAATCCCACGAAACGAAGTGTTTCATGAAATTGCAAGGCTATTCAGAAGATGAGGAAATGTTGCCTGAACCATTGGACATTAATGCAAATACTCTAGTCAAATTAAGTTAGTGAATATTTTTATGTAAAATACTTAAAAGAAAAATAATCAACGTAATATATAGGATGTATTATAGAAAAAGTTACATTTCCCGTTCACTTTTAAACACGATAACAAATATTTCTATTGTTTTTTACATGCAGGTACTCAACAAATCATTACTATATTGAATAAAGCTTCAAAACGCAACCCAATGTTTAAGAGAGGTACATACAGTATGTTTTTTACATATTTATACAAATTTTCTCACTAGAAAATGATTTATGGTGTATTGATGTTATTTTCCTTTTACAGCAATTATTTTTGTTTCTATCCATCATAAGTATTGGTCTTAATTTGTATCCTTTTCGTGAATTACAAGCTAAACCTAATAAATACTTACAGCTGTCATTGCTTCCACTTTTAGGTATTTGTTTAAAAACATTTATTTGCACTTTACATAACTTCAATAGTATAAACATTATTTTTAGTAAAAAATTGCCTTTAAATCTCCACCATTCTATCCTTTGAATGATTTTCTTAATAAATTGAATATAAGGCAACAATTGGGAGAATCGATGGTCGGAGCCCTGTAGCCTGGCGCGGCTGCAGGCCACGTACACCGGCGATGAGCGGCGTGCTGTGCATGACGCCGTAGTGCAGGCTGTTCCCTCATGTCATGACCTCGCAGACTTGGCTCTGCCCGGGTAAGATACAGCTCATAATATGTTATTAATTTTATCAATCATTTATGCAATTCTGAATTTGTTTTCTGCTTTTAAGATGTAGCACCGATGAAGGATCTAATAAAGTCAAGTCCCGCGTGGAGATCCTGGCCGAGCTGCGAGACATGAGGCGCCGCCGCACCAAGTACCGGCAAGCCGCCAAGACACGCAACTACTCTGACGTGCTAAGAGACGTTATTAAAACTCAGGTCTCTTGTTTAATTGTATTAGTATTTACGAACGTTTCATCATTTACTAATTTGGTTTTTATTACTTTTTTTAGATGGAGTCCTATTCTGGAACATCGCAGTTTACTGAGCAGTCTAAAGATAATAATTCAATAAGAAGTGTTAATAAGTGTAGCCAAAATTATAATTCTAATCAATCGTTCACGAGAGATCGAGAAACATATATTGCTACTAAAGATATAAGAGGGGGCCATTTAAATAAATATTACAAGTCACCCAATCGAGAAGCAAACAGATGTAATTCAGCTACAGCTACTAACTATAATTCTAAAAGACATCAAATGTTTGGAAGTGAGAGACAACAAACAGATCGATATCATTCATACAGAGACAATTATAAAACTAACGAATCTACAAGAGAAAAAGCTTTCGAGTATAAGCCCAGAGACAAGCATACATCGTCAAGTCACCAAAGATACGAACACAAAGAATATCGCTCCAAAGATAGATCGGAAAGAAATATTAAAGAAACCCAAACACGAAATAGTTACAGCCAAAAGAGGAATAGAGAGTACACTTCGGATGAGTCAGAAGATTCTAGATCTACAGACAGAGAATATAGACGAAAGAGTCACAGAAACAGACGATCGCCGAGTTATAACGATAACTATAGGGGCAGAGTAGACAGAACGCATATCAAATCGGAAAGATCGGAATCGCCCACTAGATATAGACCTGGAAGAAGTCAGCCTTTACCGGCTCAAACACATAATAAAAATTCAGAACTTCAAACAAGCATTAAACAAGAAAGAGTTAATTCACCAGATATGACTAAGAAACAAGATTATGGTAACACTTCCAGACCCATAAATGATACCGATAGTGGGACAAGCGCGCTTATCAAAGTAGAAAAAGCTGAAACTGTCTCTCAATACAGTTGCAGTCGCTCTGAAAGTAGATCCATTGATCACACAGAGGATAAACCAAGAGAAAGTAATATAACGATGAAAAGAGAAAACGTACAAAATAAAGATAAAATAATTGAGAATAGACAAGAGAGAAGTGGTTATTATAACTCCATATCTACAAATAGAGATTTCGAAAGTTCAAGTCGGAGAATTGTATATTTCGAGAGAAGTTCAGATATACAACATAGATACAGAGATAGCTCAAATTCTAATACAGAGTATGATGTAACTGTTAAAGAAGAATATACTGAAACAAATAAAAGAAATGATCGCAATGTTAAATTGAATAGAGGCTTAGGAAAGATATCTGATAGACACGGTCATCACAGAAGACGTAGTGCATCAAGTGATACAGAAGGACGTGGTCATGATAGAAGACATGATAAATATCATTCTAAAGAAAGTAATTCAAACGATATAAGAAAAGACAGAACGGGTGATTCTAACAGATATAATAAACCAAGTTACTACGACAAACACAATACGAGATGTGACGTCACAGACAAGGAAACAAGTTACGACGAGAGACGGAAACGCAAAAAATATTCCTAATTAAACTTCATTAAAATACTTTAAGAAAAAAATTCTGTTTCATTATTTTTTTAACTAAAATATTTGAAATTTTGTTAACATTACGTATTAATAAGTAGCCCGTGACATTCCTTTCGTAGAAAAGTTTGCAGATAATTGTACAAATTATTTGAAAGTTAGTATTCTTCTAAAGCCTATTTATTTAATTCTAACACAGATATCAGTAACGGTTTGTCTCTTAATGTTGTGATTATGAACAAATTTCTTAATGGACATTATTCATTTGAGGAACCACGTAAACGGGAAATGAACAAGACAGCACGATTACCGTTTTCTTTAAGTTACACAGAACTTAGTCGTTTTACAAGCTTATAAAAAAGAAATTAGGGATATTATCTTAATTTTAACCTGAGTCAACGGTGCGACCTAAGATTGGTATCTAAGGTGGCCGGGCGCATCAGACCAGTTATTATGAATTGATATTTGCAATTAAATTATTAAACAATTCTTTGATAATCGAACAAAAAGACCAAGGATTTCTAAGGAAAAGAGATAAGGCAATCTAAGATCAAACTAAAACAAAACTTGCTTCTGACGTTTTCAATCATTCGTCAGATCTGTACCACACTTATTGCTTCATTTTAATTTAACACCAATTTTTGTGTTTCTCCAAGCGGCTAATGAAATTGCGAATAACGGGATATCTAACGTGTGGTCGCAATATACCATTTGAGCAATTTGCGGTTTTATAGCAACATATTAATCAGAATCTAAATGAATTATTACGTCCGTCGAAATAAAATGCATGCTCAAATCTTTGTGCTGCTAAATAAAATGTGTGATATGAAGCCGGTTGAGAATAATTTATTCATGAGCATTATTGTAGCGTTATTGTGAATAGTCAGCTCGTGGCTGTACATCATGCTCGCAAGATTTCTAACAATTTTAAAAGATCGCTCGTAACTGATTAGTAAAGGACTGCTTGTGTGTGCATAATGCAACTTGTATTTGTATTCTCGTAAGAAATCTACAGAACGTAGTAACTGTACCCGTGATATCATTAAAAAATAGTTGAACTTTTTTGTTCCCCACATCGAAACTCTAATCAGCACATAATGTCGTGCTTTCCGATGAGTGGAGCAATTTAGCAGCTGATAAAAAATAGTGCATAGACAGAGAGCGCACGCGGCGCTAGCGGCTATGAGAGTGTGACGGCCGTGCACGCTACAACACCACACTGCTGCAACGCGATAATTGACACAAATGCAATTATATCAATTCTAATAACATAGCCGTACAAAGATCAGTCGAACCTTCGTCAGCTAGGAACGATCTGATTGAACTATTTAGTGTTGACAAAACTGCGATGAGAACTGTTACAGACTTCGCAAGTTACAAAACTGGTATTTACCTAACGTTACCTGGTAGTATATCCGGAAGATCAAAAATTGTATGCTTTTCTTGACCGTTACTGCACATCTTTTATTTATCCATTTACATATATTTTATTTTTAATAAAAGTGTGTGTTTATATGTTTGCTTATTACACGTGGGTGTAGTTTTCTGATGTGTACCGGTTTGCTGGGTGTGCGCGTATTGCCAGTGCCCGTCGGCGCATTGACGATAACATGTAATTGTATTGTTCTCCAGCGGCTTCTAGCGAGCTCTAGCGGTTGAATATGTGCTTCCTATAAGGGCCAGATACTGGACCTCTATCTGATTGCTTGCCATTGAATGTAACAAGGTACCGAGCTTGTTTTGCGTTTTATTGTACTTAGTATTAATAGTGGAACGTTATAAAAAATTGACACGTACTCGTAAATTAATATGTATTTACTTCTTGCATTGATTTTTATTTACGTACCAGATAAATTCGACCCAGAATAGTTTTCCCTTAAAATCTGCTCGTCTATAGAGACATTAAAATGGTGAATCTGATATTTTATGCTTCGCTGAATACAGTTTGCAAAATGTTAAATTTCTTTTGAAATTCAGGTCGATTGTTTGGATAACGAGAACCGTGAATTTAACGACTACATTTCAGATGCTTTCAGTCTAGATGTGTAATAATGAGATTTTAATTTTTTGTATTCCTTTAAGTGTTAGAACCTAAACATCAAACTAGATCATTATATAATCAATCTGAACAATTATGTCAGAGACAAATAAGTAACTAAAACTTGACTTCGTTTTGAGTGGTCGCTTGAAACATCGTGGGAATTTATCGCCAAGTGTATATTTGAGGTTTTGTGGTTAAAACATTAAATTGATTTACAAAAGTGTAGAATTGCTCTCTCTTCAATTTCTGGTAGAATTCATCTTTACAGAGCTAATATAGTTAATATATTTCTCGCATTTTATGAAAAACTAAATCCCTTAAACATCAAAGCGTCCACGTGAGTTATATTAAAACGAGTTGCAATTTATTAACAATGGGATTTGCAAGAGAATGCAAAAAGAATAAAAAAGCGTGGGCCGCAGCCGCGGGGCGCGAGCGCGAGCGCGGGAAATAAGAAAACGAAGCGCGCGCCCCCGCGGGATCAAACACTGCACAATGCACGGGCACGGGAGAAAGATAACATGGGTATTAGAGTACTACTATGATTAATGTTATGTTTACCTTTGCATAAAATAGTAAAAAATAATATGTTCACAATAGTAGATTTGAAACATCCATATTGACAATATCTGGACTATAGGCACAAGCGAAAACAAGTGTGGTTCGTGCCAGCCGGCGCGGCGGCGGGTGGCAGCCGACACGACAACGGCACGGGCCCGGCACAGTATGCCCGAGTCGCTTTTCTCGTGCGCACGTCTCTCGTTGTGATGGTGTTACATCGCGCGGCAAAACTTATTCACGTCTAAATAGTGCAGTGTATGAAATTTTTTTATCGATGATTTTTGTGCGACCATGTGATTGTTTTGTGCACTGAATGCTGTAAAAAGGATTTTTTTTCCGTGTTATCTTAGGTCTGGTATGATTTTTTAAAGTAAATGTAATTATTATTTGTAATTTGAGTATAATATTTTTTTTCGAAAATAATTTAACTACTTTAATCCAATAAGTTAAAGGAAGAATAGAAAATTTGAATGGTAGTGATTATTTTTAATGGTTCGAAATACGGTTCGTTTAGAAATTTAAGTGAATAATAATAATAAGCAGGCAATATAAATTTCTGAAAACCGAAAATTTATCTATTAATTAATTATCCTCGTGTGCAGGCTCCCTTATATAAATTGTAAATTAGCGGTCACACTTATCTTGAGATATTATATAATCTGATGTTTAGATTCCAGAGAAACTTCAAAAGTAAATATTATTTGATTATTAAATAACTTTAATTAAAATAAATTATAAGCGATTTCAACTTGAACTCGTGCGCAGAATATGGAGCTCTCCTATTATTTGTTAAGGTGAAATGGAAGCTCGACTCCATAATTGAATCGATGCGAGATAAAAGGCGTTGGACACGGTGCGGCACGGCACGGCACGGTGCAGCACGGTGCGGCACGGTGCGGCGCACGACACGACATGATTAGTATTCGTTTAGTGAGAGTCAAAATGGCGGGTGTACCATCGCGAATTAAATTATACCACTTACTAAAAAAATGTACCTAAAATGTACTAATTAGTACC